TTTATAACATAGTCCCAGGCCTGATGCATGACACTTACGTATTTAGGTAGGAAATTTATTATCCCTTTGTGTAATGAATGGTCTCTACTCTCGTGGAGCTTACAATGGTCTAGTGAGAGAAATAGAGCTCAATGAAATTCAAAATGGTTATTACTGATTAGAATTAATAATAAAAGATCCTAAAAGTTATAAGAGGTTATTAGAAGGCCATGACCTCTTCTAGATGATGAGCTGTTAGGTATTTTGCAGGAATTTTTGAAAGAATAAACAAATGATTAATTACTTGACTAATTACAATTTTGTTGAATTCATGCTCTATTAAACTGTCTGTAAGGCTTCAATTCTTCTCTTACTAACTAGCCTGCCCTTCTATAAAGATAGACATTTTAACTAAATGGATGGTTAACAAAGAAGCAAATATATTATTTCCAAGATTCTCTTGAAGACAAGGTTCTTGACAATACTATATGAAACAAAAATGATGTGTAGAAATTCAAAGTAGTGTATTCTTGTGAGTTTCTCTTTCTCTTTTGTGATAGCCTCTGGCTACATAGTTCAACCTAGCTTTGATTTCTGAATCTGTCTTTCTAGTTGTTGTGATCACAGACATGTGCCACCTATCAGAATTGAAAACACTGTTTTTAAAGAGCAAGAGATGAGTACTCTCCTTCTCCCTGTCATTGTAAAAACAGAGCTCTTGCTTCAAAGGGAATAAGATGTAGTTTATCCTGGAGTCAAATATGAATGAGTATAGCTTGGAGACAGATTCAGGTGACTTCAAATTTAACTTGTTAACAGTTTCATGCAGTTTTTAAAATAAGTAAACAAAGAAAAGATAAATCAAGGTATTTTTCAGATGCATTTGTAAACATATGAAGTAGGTGGGCCATCAGAAAAGCAGGAAAAGGTCAACTAAAGGCCTCAGATTTTAGCTGATAGCATCTCCCATAGTGGAAACTAGTGCTGTTTGTACATCCCAAAAGATTTACCTAATAGTCACCAAGGTGTTAGGTAAACTATAGAGAAGGCAACGACTAGCTATTGAGGGAGGCTAAAGATGGCTCAAGATAGTTTTACTCTGAACTTGTAACATTCCAAACTACCTACAACCATTGAACCAGCTACTCAGTCACAACTCCATTCTGGGAATTATTGTTCACATTCCTGTGGACTTTAGTTCTGGTGTGGTTATCATGGACCAGGAAGGCTGAAGAAAATGTCGCAATGGTAGTTGAGCCCCAAAAGAAGAACTGAGTAACACTGAGTAACACTGCAGGTTAGAGTTGACTTTAAATTTTTACAGGTGAGAGATACTTCTATGTTGTTTAAACCATTATTTTGGATTTTCTCTCATGTACAGATGAACTTATTAATCTTTGTTCAAGCTCATTTAATTTTCCTCATGGTACACTGTAAAATAATGTGGCTTTGGAACAAGTAAGCTTGCCATCTTACTTCTTTTACATAAATTCTACAACAAGTATCTTGAGCATCCTTAGCCTCAATTTCCTCATTGGGGAAATATATGATTCATAGTTATAAGAGACAATTCTTCTACTAGAATTCCTACTGGTATGTTCAAAACAGTTTTTAAAATTCTCTCTTAGAAAGGATCCTGTTCCAAACCATTTCTCTCCATAAGGAAAGAGATGGTTATAGGTTTGTATACTGCAGAAAAGATGATCACTATATGATCTACTTGTCTTCCTTCTCACAATAGTCTCTCTATATAATGCCATAATCAGTTTGCTCATACCAAAGGAGAACCACAGAACTAGCTGTTCTACCTAAATCTAAGTACAAGCATTGAATTTTGGAAAGAAGAATTAAAAATGTATACTGTGGCCAGATGTGCAAGATGCATTCTTCGAGGCAATTTTAACAGTAATAAAATTGATGTTGCCATAGTCTCTCTGCCCAAATCTTATATTTATCTTCTAACTATCTGATTCACAGTGGGATCCTAAAGTGTGAAGACATCTCAGAATTCAACAAGGTATTTTGTAAAAACTGAAATTAAATGATAGATAGAAGCATAGAACCCTACATTTGGAGTTCAATAAAAGATAATATATCACAAGTGGTACTTCAGTCTAAGTGGCATAGGAGCACCAGCTTCTTATGAGTATTTCTGAGGTTGAATGAAATAGAACAACTAAAGTACTCAAAACTGTGCCTAACATTTAAGAATTGACATTGAATAATACATACATATTTAAGTCAAATTATTGTCGGTAATACTGATACTTTTCTCCTCAAGATTCTAATACATCAGCTGCTTTGACCACCAAATTCTCTCCCATTGAAGAGCATAAAACTCGTATTTCCTCACATGTTTCTCATTAACCTGAACACATACCTTCTCTCAAATTCAGTACTTTTGCTCTTTTTTTTTTTTTAGTACTTTTGCTCTTTTAGAATATTTATCATTAGACATCAGAGCAATTTCAAACCATGTTCCAGAGAATCTTATGATTCTCAAGGTTTTTCATGGGTTCTACAAGCATAAATATTACACTGTATATAAATGGAGTAGCCAATTCATTTCTTTTATGTGTTTTATAGAACAAATAAAAATGTATTTCTTTTCTATTTCCATTAATGAAAGTTTGAGACACACTTACTTAAAACAAAACAGTGATTCCCACAGAATTTCTGTTCAAATATAATTGCTATTTTGGTAAAGTAACAATAATTACAGCTCAGTTTTTTTTCTCTTTCTTGAAACTATAGTAAAATATGAAACAAAATTGAAGGTCAGAACCTTGGTTCAATCCACAGTAACACACAAACACACACAGGCACACATGCGTGCTTGCATGAACACACATGTACACATGTACATGCACACTCACAAGAAAGAAAAAAAGAAAAAAAAAACAAAGAAGGGAAAGAGGGAGAGAAAGAGAGAGAAGTAGAAAACGGTTTCATCCACTAACAGTGAAATTAGATGTTTCCACTCTAGGTATGAGATAGCAAATGGGTTGCTTTGGACTTCTCCAATGCAGTTAACTTTCTTGTAAGACTTTTTAAGGCTAAGACATTCTTTACTTTTAGGGCTATTTAGCCACTGAACAGTCTTACTTCTTTTGAAGATTTTCATACTTTAGGAGGAAATAAGTAGAGCAATAGAACATATATGACATGGAAGAAGAAAAGAAGTTATTGAGGGTGAAAAGGGTACAAGGAAGAACAGGGAGATTGGGGAAAAGGGGGAGAATCAATTAAAACAAAACGTTTGAAAATGCCATAGTAAACTTTAAAACATTGTACACCAATTAAAATTAATAATGTAGCCAGATGTGGTGGTACACATCTTTAGTCCCAGTACTGGGGAGGCAGAGGTAAATGGATCTCTGTGAATTTGAAGCTAACCTGATCGACATAGTAAGTTCCAGACCAGCCAGGATTACATTTACATGGTGATGTCTGTCAAAAGAAAGAAAGAAAGAAAGAAAGAAAGAAAGAAAGAAAGAAAGAAAGAAAGAAAGAAAGAAACTAGAAAAAAAGAAAAGAACTATTTTTTTTTTAAATAAAAATGAGACAGATCAGAGGAATCAAAACCCCCTATAAGGACACTTGGACGGAAGCTAGATAAAACTGTTAGGTACAGTGAAGAATTTAGTTTTGTGTTGGGTCTTTATTGTAAGCATGCTTGTTTGTTTGTTTGTTTGTTTGAGACAGGCTCTAACTAGTCAGCTCTGGCTGTCCTGGAACTCACTAAATAGAAGAGGCTGGCCTTACAGAGCGACTCTTGCCTCTATCACTTGAAGTGCATGTATTAAAAGTGTGCACCATCATGCTCAACTATTGTATGCATCTTTTAACAGTTGATTTTCTTTCAATAAGCTGAGGAGTGGGATTTGATTTTTTGATTGACAGCAGTCAGACCCTTCCATTGTCTCTGGTTACTTTGATTGGAAAGCTAACAAAACAGCAGTCAGTCTTTTGGAAATAGGCTGGATGTCATAGCAACCTGGCTGCTTTAATTAGCTCATGGCTCTTTGAGGAAACTACACTACAGTGTATATAACCACAACTGATGCTCAAGTCAAGATTCCTAATTAGGAGGTCTTGTTTTAGTCAAAACTTTTTCTAGGCAACTTATGTTGGTTTTAGAACAGTCATTCTGGGCAAAACAAGCCTTAATAAACTCTATATTACCATGCTTTCCTCACTTGGGAAAAGAAGGGGAGCATTTCCACAATAACGCAGCAAAAAGCTTATGATTGGTGCTAAAGCCAGGCTTGTGATTGGTCCATAGGTAAGATTTGCAATTAGCTATGCACATGCAACACTGGAAATGATGAAATTACAATCTATATACAAACATGCCTTGTAGTGAGAGTTTTGATTTCTTTAAAATCCTAGTTATGTTATGTGAATATGTTTTGTTTTAATCCCAAGTGTAGGATAAGAGACTGTTTCACACCAGGTGATTTTGATTTGCCTCTTGCATTAGCAGGGGCATGATCTTTGCCAGCTTCAGATAGCTTAATTCTGGGCACTCCAGAGAGGGTATAAGTAGGAGAGCCTCAGAAGGCTTGCATCAGCTGCTGCCCCCATTCCACCCCCCACTGCCACAGGTTCACCTTGCTGCTGCATTTACTGATGCTAGATTGCTGGACTGCTGGATAGTCTGACAATGAAAATTGCACTTGCCTCAAGGATCTTGAGGTCCCCAAATAACAGGAAGTAGTCTATAGAAACCTACTTTCTCTTTCTTTTCTAGCCTTCTTTCTTTCCTACATAGTGTTAGGGAGAAGGGATTAGGGTGAATAAGTGTTAGAAGGGAGAGGTAGAAGAAAGCAATAAAATTTAAAAAGAAAGTAAATAACACCAACATCCTGCTTTTGTTTTGCTATAAAATCAAGATGTTCACTACATATTGTTTTTAGATTAGTCTGACAGGTTTTGTATTGTACACTACCCACCCCTACTCCATACTCTTGGTATTACAACATCAGGCTCAGTAATGACTTCTACATAGACTAGGTTTATATATATTTTTTATTATTCACATTTTTTTTGAGATTTCATACATGAGTACTGTATTTACATCATTTCCAGCCCTCCCTTTCCCCACAACTTCTACTGCATCTTCCCAACTCCCTCTCAAAAATTCATGTTTTATTTAATTATAATTGTTACATATATTTATTTACATACACATGTGTACAAGGAAATAAAACCTGCTGTCCATTTAGTATATGTCATATGTATGTGTGTTGACTACTTAGGATCGGATAACCCCTCAGGGGCCTGACCCTGACTAAGACTGATTCTGCCTCTCTTAACAGCCATTAATTGCTGTTGTTCTTCATCTAGTGGTGACCTTGTTGATATTTCCCCAGTCAACTCTGGCATGACAACTGATATTGTCATTGTGTTGAACTTGTTTAGGTGACCATGTTGTTGCAGGGCTCACACTACTTGAATGACAAACTGTTTACAGGATGAAGTAGAGTTTGCCTGAACTTCATTCTGATTATGGAGAGTGGGTGTTGGTAGAAAAAAATAAAGAGACAACAGTTGTAGAGACAGCCATACTTCTATAATATTGCTTTAATATAGATAGTACTAGCTGTGGAATGCAAATACTCAAGAATCATAGCAGATTATCACTACAGTATAAACATAATTTTGGATATTGTTCATGTCTGTTTGACATCAGATGTGGTTCTCTATCCTTTCAGAATTTTTAACCAATTACGTTTGTTTTCTACAAAAATCAATCAGAGTCAGATTCTTCTTTTGCCAACAAGATACTTACAACTATAAATACAATTATTTATAAACATCTCTTTCACTAAAAACTCAAGGTGACTGAGCCATATAGTTGTTAGCTACATCTTATTTGGCCGATGAAATTTTCTATGTTAATGATTTTTTAGCTCTTAACACAAACAAATCTGAGAGATTTTATCCTTTTTCCTATTAGTTTTTTCTATTAAATTATATCTGAGCGAAAGAATAGTAATCTGAAGAGCAAATGATAGTGTTTCAGAAATAATTTTAAACCAAGAATATGTAAATTGGTGACAGAATAAAAGTAGCTGTAAGTGGTATTACAAATCCTCGGTTTAAAAAGTTAGCTATATTTCTAGAAAATCAAACTGTAGACAACTGCATCACATAACAAGTCACCAGAGCACATCTTCTTAACTTTTGAAACTATGCATTATATTCACTACATTAAACAAATGGTGACCTCTTCCCTACAGGGCAGATGGTACAACAGACCTGAGTAATACTAGAAATATGCCAGAGGGGCTAAGGCCAGTAAATGTACCTACGTAAAAATAAGCTAATGTAAAGGCTAAACTTGTATAGGTAGAATATGGTAATGATAACAGCTAGGAGAACAGTACATAAATGAACTTTTGGGAAACTTTTTTTTAAAAAACATCTAAAATGTGTTGCATCTTCTATATTCAACTGACCTTTAAAGCAGTTAGTGACCAGAGGGTATCAGAAGTGCTGACTGAAAGACAGTGTAAGATTGTGTTTCTACTGTGTGATCATACATGTAGTAGTGTGAATAAATGTCCAAGCCATAGAGCTACCACCACTCAGCCTTTCTGTCCTAGACCATAATTGATTTGGAGTTGGAAAATGGGTTTAACTACAAAATAAGTGAAGTATGGAGAAGATGGCTGCAAATTAGCTGACATACTATTTAGGCTATCTATAAATTGTGGGAAAGAATGTGAACTGCATGGAGACATATGGAATTAATTAGCTCTGGAGGTGATTAGAGAAAAATCATATGGCATTTGAGAGACAAGAGAGAATAGCAATTATTGAAAGCTCTCTAGACCCTCTGAAACTTTATTTGTCTACATTTCCTTTAGAACCAGTTGGAAAAAAAATAATTGTAAGCTTAAAATGCTCACACAGCCACACCACTGACACATGCACATTTTTTTTCTCAAGCCACTTTATGTGGGTTTTAGTTCTTTGCAACCTAAAAAGACCTGACTAGAAAATGGATTAAAAGACAATGAGAACAATAAAGGTTTATGGTATAAAACAAAGGAAAGACAAAGCTATCAGACTATTTGATTACTATAATACTTTTCTTAGAGGTGATAAAGATCCTCTAAAATGAGCAGTAACAAACTCTTTTTCTTTACTTGGGTGACAGTCTTCTATAATTCAGTCAATTGTCTTAGATCCTCAATGTTTTCATTTGAGAATGAATACTCTCTTTCGACCTGTTTAGGGAGTCAGATGATGAATTTCAGGTTTTTTAAAATTGTTTTCTTGTTTTCCTTCTGGAAAAACAAAATGCACTCACACCCTGTCAAAAAACATAAATATTGGAACAATTGATAGGTACAGTCAATTATTTGACTAGTCAAACTAAATTAATACACATATACTTACACAAAGAAAATTTGCTCATCATTCTCTTCTCTACTTATGGTTGCATTTAATTCTACTAAAAGATATTCTTGACAGTTTTTAATGGCGCAACTGCTTATGAGTGAAGTAATAGTTATGATACATGTCCTTACTATCTTTTTCATGCAAAAGCAAATTGAGTGCTAAGCTTTTTATTCTTAGAAATAATAGTCATACAATTGATTGCCTAGTTTCTATCAAAAGTCCTTAAAAATTTTGGAAAATTTTCGGTTGACCTTTCTATGAATCTCCTGGAGGACTGTTGTCAATTTCTTCCATTTGGCATGGTAAAACATTTGCAAAGCACATTCACACTTCTTACTATAATCTCTAGTTCAGCAATAGAGTTTTATGTAGGTAGATACAAATAGCAAGGGACATAATGAAGTTCAATGTGTGTTACCGAGAAACAACGTGGAAGCCATGGCTTGCTATTTCTCAACACATTTAATTTCGTGGTTATATTTAATTGCATTCACTCCAGAAATATACCTCTACTATCTATACTGATGTACACCTTTACTCAAATGGCATCCACTCCACAGTCCAAACGTCAGTAGAGAGATAGACGGGAATGATGTATAAGAACAAAACCAACAAAGGTTCAAATGGTTATGAGAGTAGTAGCATTGTTCAAAATTATAGATAACACTCAAGAGCCTAGAGTGATTAATGTGTCTATTTCTAAAGGATACAGCTGACATGGGAACAAAGGAGGGATACTGTTTGGGGGTTTGTATTTCTTGGGTGATTTTTAAGTGTCACGATAGAAAACATATTCAGTGTAAGATGTCCAGATCCTGTCATCTGTTTGGTCATGTGTGACAGTGCAGGTGCCAGTAGAGTTGCATGCTACCATGTGGAAGCCAGCATCAGCTAGTTTGTCGAAGGCTTGCTCCAGAAAATTGAATTTGAGGTAGTATCGAGAAGTATATCGCTCAGGAGGGCGGTCGGGGTCTCTGCTCTCATTCAGAGTGTCTCCAAACACTTCTTTGGCTAATGAGATCTTACCACACACCATGATTCTGGCCACACGGCGGAATTTGGCATCTGTTTGGCTGTCCCTGCTCAGAGTATAGGAGCCTCGATAGCCAATAGTGATGAAGCCAGCCTTCTTGAGCTCAGAACCAGTGGTAGTTGTCAGAATCATGGGATTATCAGAGCCACTAACATGGATGCTATTTGTTGAAGAGAAATTAAATGTGGTGTCAATCCTGGGTGAAAGCTCTTCTAGATCAAACTGACATGAGTCATTGCCAACTGAGTTGAACTTGTTCATTTTAACAGCCAACATCTTGGCCAGTTCTGGCAACTTAAAGTATTCTGCTTCTCTACGGAGCCGGCCCCACTCTGGAAAGTGATCCGGAAGCACTACTTGCAGGTCTCTCATGTAGTCTAGGACATAACGAAAGAGAAAACCATCTCGATCTATGAAGAATCTCCCTTTGTTGTCCTGGATCAGAGAGCAAGGGTTCTTTACACTGAACATTTCCCAAAGCCGGGAACCAGGAATGCTAATCAAAGTAGGATAGCGAGTTATATACACCTGGCCACCTACATTGAGTTCAATAATTTCGGGAAAATTGCTGCAATCCTCAGTTGGTTTGATACAGCATGACTTCTCTGTCATGGCCATATTGACCTGGAAAAACAAAAATATTATTTTTGAGCAAGACTGTATAGTGTGGGGAGCCTGTTCATAAGCATTTGCTTTCTGCATTCTGTATTTCAAGAAACACAAAGCTTGGGTGATTGCTCAACATGTAAAAACATTAGTCTTATAAGCCTGATGATTCATCTGATCCCAAACCTATGTCAGAATATGAATTCAGTGCCATATACCTGTAATTTCAGATGCCAATAAGAGGTGGGGACAGAAAAATTTCCCAGAAATTCATGTGCCATCTAGTGTAGAATGGGTAGCCCAGAAGAAACAAGATAGATTCCATCTCATTAATGTAAAGAGAGGAAACTGACTCCTGAATTTTGTCCTCTGACATCCACATGTTGACTATGGTGTATATATATACACACATACACACCCCACATTTATTAACTGACTGAAACAAAGTTGTACAAATGTATATCTATGAGCTAGGTTAACTTGAAAATGGCAGCATAGAAAACTACTTCATGGTTTGTCTTTGCAGTCTTTTCTCCAGTTTTGAGGGCTTCTGTCACCCTTGGCAAGAGCTCTACTACTGAGCAAAACCCTAGCCCCAAACACAGATATGTCAGACCGTATTTCTCATTTCATGGCAGGATACTGTAGTTTATGAAAGACCCCCTTTCTGCAATGTTTCTGATTTTCTACTTTATCTTCTCGGCTCCTTCACATTCCTTTTCCTGACCCTAGCACGGACAACTATGTCAGTTCATTTAGTGTGCATTTTCATTTGTATGCATTTTTACAAAAGGAATTTTATGGTTTTTAAATATGCATGTTATTATATCATATTACATTACATATTTCCTCTCTAAAGCTTTTGTTTTCAATACTAAATTATTCAGATACCTTTTCTTGGTAACATTATGGTATGTTCGTCCACCATGTTTTACCAACCGCTCTCAGTGGCTGCAGCCTAAAATGTTTTACCTACCTGCTCTAGTACACATCCCTAGACATGTTGGCTATGATTTCCAAGACAGGCCCCCCTGTCTTCTAACCTTCAGCTCCATGTTAGCAGCTCCTTACTGACTGCTTTGGTAACAAGTTTATTCTAACAGGCTGAAAATAGTCTTTATGCATATGAAAGTGGTTTTCTTTTTTTTAAAAAATAGGATTCATTATTATTTGTCTCCATATTTCCAGCCCACACTTCTCCTATTGTTAGAAGAACCACATTTTGTCATCTACATTGAAATTCTAAATCCCAAATCATCTTATTGACATCCCTCTTTCTTATCCATATCTGTCACTAACCTAGAAATCATTCCTTTGTGAGGTTTCTTAGACACACACTGTTCCTGCTGACACTTTTTCTATATTGTGCACTTACGTAATCCCCTCCCAACTACTTTGTCTCTCTCTGGTTGTTACACATTCATGTTTATCTCTCTTACTGCCCAATACAAGCTACTCTAAATTCTGCTCCTAGACCAGTTGCTATGTCATCTTCTCTGCTTACTACTATTAAATGTTCCAATTTACCAATATATTAAATCCAAATCCCTTACCTGGAAATGCAAAACTATAAGCTAGTTGCATCTCCTCTTTAATTATAAGAATATCTAACACTATATAGGACTTATGTGTTGGGCATTGTTCCTAGTTGATGAAGTGGTTATTTTATGACCCACAAACTATTAACAGATTCAAAAGACTTTGCCCAACATAAACTGAAAAGTAGTTATGCTGGTATCTAAACAAAAGCAGAAGACCACAGAGCTTTTTATTTTATTTTATTTTATTTATTTTATTTTATTTATTTTATTTTAGGTTTCTGTTTTTTTTCTTTATTAATTACACTTTACTCACTTTGTATCCCCCTCTCCGTGGCTCCCTCCCTCCTCCCATCCCAATCCCTCCCTTCCTCCACCCTCTGCCTGCATGCCCCTCCCCAAGTCCACTGATAGGGGAGGACTTCTTTTCCTTCCTTCTGATCCTAGTCAATTAGGTCTCATCAGGAGTGGCTGCATTGTCATCTTCTGTGGCCTGGTAATGCTGCTTTCCCCTCAGGGGGAGGAAATTAAAGAGCAGGCCAATCAGTTCATGTCAGAGACAGTCCATGTTCCTATTACAATGGAACCCACTTGTATACTGAACTGCCATGGGCTACATCTGTGCAGGGGTCTTAGGTTATCTCCATGCATAGTCCTTGGTTGGAATAGCAGTCTCAGGAAAGACCCCTGTGCTCAGATTTTTTTGGTTCTGTTGCTCTCCTGAGCTTTTTATTAATTACTTCATCCTTTTGATTATATCTGCTAATACATATATGAAAAAATGTGTATATCACTGTTGGCTGTGTTCTTTTTCGTTTTATTTATTATTTGTTTATATACCTTTGCTCAGACTTTTTCTCCCCACCCCCACAAGCCTTAGTTCATCCTTCTGATAGTCATCATATCCCTAAGAACAATTTAGTTTCCAGATAAAGAACAGAAATATTCAAACATTCATTTAGTTTTTCACTCATAGGGTTTCTATACTTTCATCTAATATGATGATAATGTGGAATGTATATGCACCTAACATTTAGGAAATACTGTACGCCAGTCTTCTAATGTTTTCTTTTTCCTGTGACAACTCAGTTAATTTTGTAACAATCTAGTGAGGTATATATTGTTAAAATCCCCATTTCCTGGAGAGAAGCAGCTGTATAGTCTATTAGCTTCTTTACAGGGACTATTGTTTTCAAGTCTCTGTTTACACTAGAATTAGAACTACCTAACTAAGATGCCAAACTGACCCTGGCTATTTCTACCAAAGCTTCCTCAAAGTCAAGATAAGAAAATTCATTCAAATTAAATAAGGCATATGAAAATTCCCATAATGCAATTTACCATTTTTTACAATGAACACATGTCAATAATATAAACTAAATTAAATTTAAAAAATGGACTGGTGATGGTGGCATAAGCCTTTAATCTAAGTACTTGGAAGGCAAAGACAGAAGGATCTTTGTGAGTTTGAGGACAGTCTGGTTTACAGAGTGAGTTCCAGGACAGCCAAAGCTATGCATAGAAACCCTGTCTTGAAAATCAAAACCAAACAACAAAGAAAATATTAAAAAATGAATCTGAAAGCTATGAGAAAATAAAATGAAGGCAGAAATATCAGCTCCAAAATTCTATAAGCTAGCTACCCTTTGTCTTGTTCTTTTTTAATTCTAGTTCTCTTTTCCTTTGAAGGAATGGAAATATTAGCCACACTGAACTTAAACCCAGTTCTTCAAGCCCATCTATTTTTTTATGTCCATGTACCTAAAACTTACTATTCTGTAAGCTTGTCCTTTTGATTCCTTCTACTAATTCAGTAACTATCTGTTCCTTCTTGTAAAATAATACAAGAAAGTGGTAGGTTTGAATTAGAATCCTGACTCTGCCAGTTAGTACCTGGGTAACTGTGAGCAAACTGTGTGTTTTCTTCTCTGAGCTTCAATTTTTTTTTTATCCAGAAAATGGATATAGAAAAAAAAATCTGATTAATAAGATGAGAAGAAAATTGTATATGAGTCATATAAGCACTTAACACACTATTTGCTACCTAGTAAGTGCTTACCAGATGATAAGCAGTAATAACCAGATGTTAGTTGTATTAGCTTCCAGAGCTTGTCTTAGAGCAGTAGTTCACAACCTTCCTACTGCTGCAACCATTTAATATAGTTCTTCATGTTATGGTGACACCAACAGCAAAATTATTTTGTTGCTATCTTGTAAATATAATTTTGCTACTGTTTTGGCAATACCTGATATGCAGATGATCTTAGGTGAATCTTGTGAAAGGGTCAATCCCAAGGGGTCATGACCCACAAGTTGAGAACCACTGTTTTAGAAAAAGTGGTGAAATATTGCTTTCCACTGAGTTATTTATGCTACTCAATGTGTCACAGTATTCCATTGAGAGATGCTGCTTAAATGAACTATCCTGTCTAATTTTCAGTACCATCCTTTATATTTTACGTTACTGCTACAGTTTAGAAATTATTATATTGGGACACTTAACAGCATTCTGGAATTGCTTATTTATGTAACTGTCTGTGGCTAATATATTTTCAGAAACAATGTAATCTTGATTATACTTCTTTGGATCAGTACCACTGTGAGGCTTGTAAAAATCAAGGAAACAACTACTGAATGGTGAGTAAATCACCAACAAACACATGTTATAATAAAGCCATTAATTTCATAATCCCAGAGCAGATGAGTAGAAATGCATTTACAGGAGCCCATTTTCGATGCATGCATGTGAAAAAGAAATGTAATCAATTCTGCAGATTTCTGAATACAAAAGGTGCTATTCTTCCAAAAAAAAAAAAAAAAACACTTTCAAAAGCTGAAGATGTCTTTCATCATTATACAAACAGATAATTTTGTAGCACAATTTTTAAAAAACAGTGTAATTTTCTCCTTATTGTTTAGATATAGTTCTGCACAAGTCAACTTGAAATTGGTACTTAGAAACCACTCTTGCTCAAGAAGGATTGGCTCATTGGGCCCACACATTAACTGAAACCAAGGTGAAAGTTTGGTGTCTCTGCCTTCATTTTGTGTCTGTTTGCCTCTTTTACTTTAGCTGAAGGTACTCAGATAAATCATTTTCTTTAACCTTTTCTCATGAATCACCTTGAATTCCAGGAATGGCATAATAGACCATCCTCCAGGAAAGGGGAATAATCCATAACAGCATATACTGGAGCATAAATAAAGAGACACATTGGTCCCTCCACACAAAAAGGGTTTCTTCAGGTCATCTTACTGGACCAGAGCTGAAATGGTCAAGTGGACAACATCTTGACTAGGGCTGCTTAATTATACATGCTTCTTGCCCTTTATACCAATCCCTTCTCTTCTCTGTGTGGAGGTACTGAATAAATCTATGTTTTTATAATTACTTGTCCCTCTGTCATAATGGTGATGTTATAGTTTAAGGGGGGTGGGGTGGAGAGAGGCTGTCAGAAACCAGACTTCTGACCTGAAAACTTCAGTTATAATCCAAAGATCCAAAATCATATGAATCAGTCAGTCTAGGGCAGTGTTTCTCAACCTGTGTGTCACAACCCCACTGAGGGTCATATATCAGATATCTTTCATATCAATTATTTATATTATGATTCATAACAGTAGCAAAATTACAGTTATGAAGTAGGAATAAAAGTAAGTTTATGGTTGTTTGTTACCACAACACGAGGCACTATGTTAAAGGGTAGGAGCATTAAGAGGATTAAGAACCACTGCTCTAGAGGGTCAAGTTGGGTAGCCAGTTTTGTCACTCATGTTAACAAAGCAATGTTAGCTACTTTCAAAAGGACAGAGCCTTTATTCTGGGAGAAGAAATCAGAACAAAAGTCAAGACAGAGCTGCACTGAGACTTCAACCGTTGCCTTTCTCAAACATGTTTTTAAACATAAATAGAAATTTTACTGTGAAATGCTGCTTGTGACACTATTCCTCATAGCTAGGAATCTCAGTGGGTGATTGTTTTTTGTTTGTTTTTTTGGTTTGCTTTGCTTGTTTTTTTATTTTTTGCTTGTTTGTTTAAGAAAATGGAAATAGTTTCTTTAATAATGAACCAATCTAGTTCAAAACAGCCCCTTGTACATATTAACATGCTGTCAAGAAGGACATACTTCCCAAACAGAAAGTTGTTTATCTGTTTGGTTATATTTGCAATGTAAAAAATTATTTTATACATACAAAGCTTCCTGTATAACTTCTTTCTCCCTTTCTTCAGCCCAACTTTCTCTGTTGAGGTGGTTTTGCTCATGGGGAAACAAACAAACAACAAACAAAAAATAGTTCTCTTAATCTAAACAGCAGCTAGTTTTTGAAATGCTTTCTTTTTCTGCATTGTGGAGATGGGGGGGGTGCAGAGGATAGTTTTAAGAAAAAAAAAAAACCTGAAATGCCTCATCTATTCTCTTTCATGAGTAAACCCAAGGCTGATAAGGGTTAGTTTAGTGCCCTCAGTTAATCAAAGAAATAAGAGTCCCTGCAAGAGTGAAGAAAATGAGGTGACATTTAAACCAGGCTAAAGAGAAATCAGATAAAAGCAGATGTATACCAAGCCCAGAAGAATTGAGTTGTATATTCTAGCGTTTCAAAGGCAGTGAGGAAACTAACCAGTTCTGGCTCTGAATAATTCTACCTGTAACCAAGATCCATGTTTTCCAAAGACAAAAAAGTCAGCTATCCCATACTGTTAAGCTCGTTAAAATGATATGTGACTGCCTGAAAATGTGCAGGAAGACATTTCTGAGAAAACCAGACACTTTATAAACAATCAGTTTCCAATTGTATTAAGCTCGGAATCCCTATGTCCTAATCCCTTTTTCCTACCGCCCTCCATTTTCTTCTGGAATCTTTTACTTTTTTTTCTCTGTTTCCCTTGGCTTCTACCTCTCTCCTCTTTTATACCAGTGTTTTAAATATTCACTTATTTCTAAGAACATATCCACACATTTAAATTAAAAAAGTGATTCTCACCTTTTATGCTGCTCCAACTCAGAGATCCAAGAAATCAAAGTAGTTAGCAGCTAAACTGAAAGTGTAAGCAAAGGGAGAAAACAACTTCAAGTAAGAATTAAGAAATGGTTGTTAGCCTCAGCAATATTCCCTTTCGCTTCCAACTAGCTTGTATTTGTGACTTTTTATCTGCTCAGAAAAGAAACTGTTAGCCCGCAGATGCATTAAATCCAATCAAAATGCTTTTAAAAAATAACCAGATGCTGAAAAGCAATCTGAGTTTTCTGAATCCCACTTCAGAAAGATCTTCGGCTGCTTTTGGAACTCTAAAGTGCTTTCTAGTCACAGGTTTCAAGGTAGATCTCCTCTCAACAGAGAAACAGAGGTGCCTGCCCGCAGCTCAAATGCAGTAGCTCTGGAATTCCGGAAGGACTGGAAAGAAAAGACAAGGATGTTAATAGAATAGTTACATACCTTGCGTCTACAGCCACTGAGGTAGGGCCAAGGCAAGCTTCAGTGCCTGCCCGCCTCACTGGTCTGAGGGCTCAGCTCCACCGAGGAATGTATTTCTGTTCTTCCTCTCTCTTGGCGTGTGCTTTGGTGCTTAATTTGAGTTTTCCTCTTTAAAACTAGCAGTCCCGTAGACCCTCCTCCCCTGCTATGACATACTTGATTTCCTCTCCAGCCTGGGCCGGCCTCCCTCTCTATTCTTCAGCCCGAAAAAGAAGCAAAGCAAAGCAAAGGAGGGAGAAGCCAAAGAAGGGGGAGGGGTGAGAAACAAAGGTGATGGTGGCAGTGAGAGGAGAAATTTTTCTCATCTTGGGTACAGCTCTGCAAGTACATTTTGCAGTTACAGTTACATGCATGGTTTGTAAGGGTTTGGCTGGGTGGCTGTTCTGAAATAGGGCCTTCTTACATACCCCAGGCTAGCCTTAAAATTTACATCCTTCTGTGTTAGCCTCTGGAGTGCTGGGATCCCATATATGGGCAACCACATCCACTCTGAATGAATTTTTCAATGAAGAACTGGTTAGATTCTGAACCTAATATTAATTATGTTTACTATAACACCCATAATCCTGTAGATAGTATGCTAAGATCTGAGAATAAGTAAATTCTAGACACATTTTTCTTTCTTGAGAACAAATAAATTTACTGTAAGTGTTTAACTGGCATGGATGAAAAAAGATTAGTGTTGTAGGAACAAAACGGAAGCATTCCAGGTTTATCTAGGGAAATCTGCAGGTTTCCTGGGGGATTAACCAAACTGAGTTTTACCAGATGAATAAGAATTAGCCACAAGAAGAAAGATAGAACTAGTTATACAGGCAGAAAGGACAGTGTCAAAAAGGACAAAGAAATGTGAAAACGCACACAATCTATTAGGCACTATGCTCAACTTTTTTGGAAAAAATGCTGGAGGCAAGAAAGTAGGATACCTCATTCCCCAAATCCAAGCAATATTCTCCAGATGTGGTATAGACTCAACTAAAAAGTGAATCCCTATCCATCTAAGTTATTTTGTTGTATATGCATTTTTCTCTTTCTATGAACTAGTGAAATCACTGAATTTAAATGTGGATTTCTTTTTAAAAAATGGGTTATGTTTCTCTAAATATTAAAGTTCTTTCTCAATCAAATAGTAAAATAGATTTCTGAGAGGTGGGTTTAAAATGGTTTAATTTAGAGTGAGGTTATATTTGTATGTAGAAAGCAGAAAACCAGACTGAGTAACTGAGTAACATGGGGAGATATATACACACACACACACACACACACACACACACACACACACATAATTATATATATATATCTTAGGTCAGTTTTATCTCTGTTAATTCTACTAACTGAAATAATTAATTAAATATTCTCTCATTAATTTGTTTAACTGTCTGTCCTGATTGTTTTTATCAACTTGGCACAAACCCAGATATATATAGGAAGAGAAAATCTTAATTCAGGGTTTTTCTACATAAGATTTCCCTGTACGAAAGTCTGCATGGGCATTTTCTTGATTAATAACTGGTGTGGGATGGCCCAGCCCACTGTGGGTGATGGCATCCTTACACAGGTTGGTCCTGGGTTGTATAAGAAAGAAGGCTGAGGAAGCCATGAGAAACAAGCTAGTAAGAAGTGTTCCTCCATAGCCTCTGCTTCAGTTCCTGCCTCCAGGTTACTGACCTGACTTTCTTCAGGGATGAATGGTTACCTGGAAGTGGAAGATGAAATAAACATATTCTCCCCAGGTTTCATTTAGTCATGGTCTTTATCACAGCAGTAGAAAACTAAGACACTTTTTTAAACAAGTAAACAACTCCCTTCATGCTCACCAAATGGCTTTAGGAGCTTCACATATTGCATATGTATGTAACAAATTCTAAAGTCACAGAAGAAATTTTAAAAACTGTATTAACAGTCTAAGGCAGCTTTGTCTTTAATTCTGAGATTAAATGACCTATTTTTAGATAGACATTTCTTTTTAAAGTTGTTGTCGATTATTATTTTTTATTATTGATTTTTCTTTTTTTCCTTTATTTATTTATTTTATTATTATTTTTTTATACTTTCTTCACTTTGTATCCCCCATAAGCCCCTCCCCCTCCCCTCCCAATCCCATCCTTCCCTCCCCCTTCTTCATGCATGCCCCTCCCCAAGTCCACTGATAGGGGAGGTCCTCCTCTCCTTCCATCTGATTTTAGTCTATCAGATCACATCAGGAGTGGCTGCATTGTCATCTTCTGTGGCCTGGTAAGACTGTTCTCCCCTCAGGGAGAGATGATCAAAGAGCAGGCCTATCAGATTGTGTCGGAGGCAGTTCCTCTTCCCATTACTATGTAACCCACTTAGACACTAAACTGCCATGGATTACATCTGCGCAGGGGTTCTAGGTTATCCCCATGCCTGGTACTTAGTTGGAGTATGGGTCTCTGGGAAGACCCCTGTGTTCAAATCTAGTTCTGTTGCTCTCCTTGTGGGGTTCCTGCCCTCTCCATAACCTACTATTTCCCACTTCTTACATAAGATTCTATGCACTCTGTGATTTATCTTTTAGTTAATCAGTGGTTATTCCTAAACTAGCTGTATACCCAAATCACCACACAGAGACTAGGATTTATTTAATTAACCTAGAGCAAAATTCTTGGCAATAGTTACTCCATCCTAAGCCTCTAAGCCCGTATAGCTTCCTACCATTCAGAATTTCCAACATTATACTTGCTTTTAGTGATATCTTAGGACCAGTTCATCTTTCTTCCTGGTTCCAAGTCCTGTCCTGCTGATCTGTGCTCTCCTCTCCTCCCACTCACATCTTTTTCCTCCCCTCCAAACCAGGATGTCCCACCCTATTCTCTCCAGTACTCAGCATTCTGGCTGGTTGTTTTATTGACAATACAGAGAACAAATGGGGGCATGTTTACATAAACTTGAGACAAGTGATGCTTAGAATAAGCTTCACAATGCAATGTCCAGATTGAAACCAGATAGTGGGGTAGAGAAATCAGCATTTGAATGAACAAGGGTAAATTGTATACATTCCACAAGAACATTATACCAACATGAAGTAGTAAAATCGTTCTCCAAATATTTACCTGTATTCCCAGACATTTCTACAGATCGTATTTACCTTGACTATGTTATATGCAAAGAACACATAATATCATTAGCTAACTCTATTTGAATGAATTCTTTGGGCTAGGAAAGATACAATTTTCTCTGATGAGTATGATGGGTGAAATCTGAAAATGTAATCTAAGACCAAATTTCCATTTGACAGCTAAGTAGATAATAGTGCACATATATGTGAAGGTATGATCGTGAAGATGATGTCAGGTGTCCTAGTCTGTTACTCTGCCTTATTCATTTGGGAAAGAATATGTCGCTGAACTTCAAGACTCAGGCATGGGGGGAGGCAGTAAATGAACTTCATATATCTGGGAAAGATGAAACTTTCAAGATTCAAGAGGTCTTCTCTCCAACATTATAGAAGCAGTAAGCAACAGCTAGGGAAGGACAGAGACCTGCTAAGCTGCTGGAAGGAGGTCTTCCAGACTCATTAAACTATCTGCAAGTCATGGTCTGTTGTGAGTACATTCTCTGTGTGTGTGTGTCTCTGTCTCTGTCTCTCTGTCTCTGTCTCTCTCCCTCTCTCTCATGCTCTTGGTGTGTGTGTGCTTCCCCCTGCCCAGGAAAAATCTCCCACACAACACCAGCATCTTAGATGCTTCCAGAAATCCTTTCCTGGCTGGCACTGCTTTAACTGCTTCCAAATCAGCCAGATTTGACTTGTGTTTTGATAGAATATGGAGAACATCTCTTAGAATTGCTGTTACTTTTGGAGGAGTGGGTGTTCTGAGCAGAGTCTTGTATGAAAAAATTATGGGGGAAAACGGATTTGCAAAATTCCCATAGTGCTCATTTGAATTTAAAATTAATGGAGTAAAATCATTAACTTCTAAATCATTTGACAAAATGATTTTTTGTTCATAATAGATAATGTGTGCCTATCAAAGCTGTGCCATTTTTTGTAGAGGGAATTTTCACACCTTGGCACCTACATCCTGAACTCTTAGTGAAACAGAGCTGCATCATGAAACTCTTTCTTAAAAAAAAAAGTTGTCCTCCTCACTATATTTTGCTTCAGCTAGGTCTTCACACAGTCAAACATGCTGGTCAGGGACCACAGCTCTGTTTAGGCTTCATCCTGAACTTCCCAGAGACTATGAAAGTCAGAAGGGCCTAGATGGATATCATGCAGACCCTAAGAGAACACAGATGTCAGCCCAGGCTACTATACCCAGTAAAATTTTCTGTCATCATAGATGGAGAAAACAAGATATTCAACAACAACAAAAAATTCAAACAGTACTTACCCACAAATGTAGTGTTACAGAAGATACTAGAACGAAAAATACAACTCAAGAAAGCTAACTACCTTCAGGAAAACACAGGAAATAAATAACCTCACTACAGCAAAACTAGAAGTAGCTAAGCACACAAACACACTACCACAACCAACAGCAAAATCAAAGCATCTAACAGCCACTGGTCATTAATCTCTCTCAACATCAATGGACTCAACTCTACAATAAAAAGACAAAGACTAACAGAATGAATGTGAAAACAAAACCCAGAAATCTGCTGC